GTAAACCCGTAAACCCGTAAACCCGTAAACCCGTAAACCCGTAAACCCGTAAACCCGTAAACCCGCAAACCCGCAAACCCGCAAACCCGCAAACCCGCAAACCCGCAAACCCGCAAACCCGCAAACCCGCAAACCCGCAAACCCGCAAACCCGCAAACCCGCAAACCCGCAAACCCGTAAACCCGTAAACCCGTAAACCCGTAAACCCGTAAACCCGTAAACCCGTAAACCCGTAAACCCGTAAACCCGTAAACCCGTTAAACCCGTAAACCCGTAAACCCGTAAACCCGTAAACCCGTAAACCCGTAAACCCGTAAACCCGTAAACCCGTAAACCCGTAAACCCGTAAACCCGTAAACCCGTAAACCCGTAAACCCGTAAACCCGTAAACCCGTAAACCCTAAACCCTAAACCCTAACCTTATTACAGGGCTCGTCAGGGTGCCTTCTGGCCGTGTTAAAGGGCTACTATACAGGGTGTGTAGGGTTTAGGCCTTCTAGCCGTATTATAGGGCTTTTTTGCAGGGCTTAGCCCTTCTGGCCGTATCATACGGCTTGCATGCAGGGTGTAGGGCTAGCCGTCTTGTAGGGCTTATATACATGGCTGTGTAGGGTTTAGGCCTTCTAGCCTGACTATAGGGCTTTTTTAGGGCGTTTTTGCGGGGTGTGTAGGGTTTATGGGGCTTATGGGATCAAAAGGGATTAGAGTTAAGTGATTGGGGCTTCGGGCTTCGAGAGGCCCAACCCTGGATGCTGAACATAAACCCTGAACCCATGTCAATCCCAAGACGTCTCCTAACATCAGACACTAGGGTTTAGGTATGTTGAGGGTTGAGGGTTCAGGTTTAGGTTTAGGGTTTAGGGTTGAGGGTTTAAGGTACCCCAAACACCCCTAAACCCCAAACCCCCGACCCATTTCCTCCTTGCCCCAAGCCTGACATCTTACGCAGCACCGGTGTCCCTTATTATTCCTTTATGGGTCACTCTGTCTTCTGCCAGGAACGACTCACGTCCATATTCAGGAGTCCATACCAGAGTTTAGGGTTGAGGGCTTGGGGTTTAGGGTCTAAGGTCTAGGGTTCAGGGTTTAGGGTTTAGGGTTGCGTGTGGTGGGGCTTAGTTTCGGATGGAGAAGTGTTGGGACATGAAACCTCCAGCAATGAAGGGATGAGAGTTTAGGGTTTTCAGATTTGGGGTACCCTAAACTTTATTTCAACTCTTTAAACCCAAACTCCCTAGACCCTAAACTATTTTATCCCTAGAAACCCAACGCCGTCTGCGAGCCCCTGTAGCAAGCAACTCGGGGGTTAGGGTTTAGGGTTTAGGGTTTAGGCTTTAGGCTTTAGGCTTTAGGGTTTAGGGTTTAGGGTTTAGGGTTTGCTGTGATAGGGCGTAGATGCTGTGAAGGTTAGGTTTCGGAACAAGCTCGAAAGCTTCGTGAGGTGCTGAAGAGCAGCTTTGGCCCGATTGTGGAGGGGCCATCTAACACTTTTCTCCCACCCCACGCCGTCCAAGGCGGCAAAGCCACCCAAACCTATTCCTTTTAGGGTTTAGGCCTAAACTCAGACAACAGTCCACTTTTCAAAACTTTGATGTTGGTTGAATGCGAGAGTCAAGGGTGCCAGCAAGGTCTCGAAGGTAAGATAGAGGCCCCGGCGGGTAAAGAGGACAGGGGCATACGGGCGGCCTGGAGCAGGTGAGGGGCCGGGGCAGGGGGGGGTGGGGAAGAAAACTGATTTTTGAGCACCCGCCCTGCCTGGTTGGCCTGAAGCCCCCTGCGGCGAGGGGTCCCATCGTGGGCGCTGCCGACCCCCATGCTGTGGGAGGCGGGCGAGCGACCTGGGCCGGCTTGTCCCATCGAGGTCAAAGGGCTTCAGCGCCGCCCCTCAACGTAGGGGGGTGGTACGGGGGGCAACCAAAGGGGGACAGGAAACCAAACAGTCAACCCCAGAAGAAGCCCTTAAGCTCCCTGGACCAACCACAAACCAAACCCAAAAGACCAAGCACCCTTTTCTCACTAAGTGCATTGTCATCTTGAGCCAAAAATTGTTTGCGGGTGTTTCACCCTTCCAACCTGTAAAAGGCAACCTCCGCACTCCCCCTGTCCTGAGGTTCCCTCAGGACACCCTTGGAGGTGCAGGCTCCCTTCCATTCTAGCCAAAAGCTGTCTTTGTAACAGCAGCCAACATATGTTTAACGTCCAATAGACGGGCCGTAGCCACCGGCTTGCAAACTATGGTTTAACGTCTTTCCAGGACGACCTTCCAGCGCATTGGCCGAATTCTTTTTAACCATTAAGGATCTCTTCACCTCACATTTAAAAGTCTACGTTCCAGTGATCTGTTCCTCACCAAGGAACTCAGCGCCCACCACCCAGCTCTTGTTGACACAACGCTTGCAAAGCGTCCTGGCCCTGGACTGTGAATAGCGCAGAACATCACAGTCACTGCTCGCGTGCATACAGTTCCCACCCACCGTTGTATACAAAGTGGCACTCGTGGGAATAACCACCACTTTCCTGCCCCACAGCCATTTGTACAGCCGCCGAAGGATATACCTGGCCAATTCCCAGAGTGTGATTGTTGCCACCAAATACACAGCGATATCTACATTGTTGATAACCGTTTCTATACCTTGAGCCAGAACCATAATTGTAGACGTGTTGGCTACTCTGCACACTCCTTCGTCTGAGCAAAAGAACCCAGCATTTGACGCTTCTTCTCCACCCTGAACTGTTGCCATCCCTTGAAGAGATGCAGCCACCATCATGACCGCCACAGCAAGAGTGGCCTTCTTCAGGTCAGTTCCTTGAACCAACATCTGGAGACCCCAAAGCGCCTTTTGCTTTGCATAAACCTGTCCGCTCATCAGCTTTGTTAACAAGTCAGCAATCATGTACTCACCACGAAGATGTGCAATTACCATATATCCACGGTCCACCAGAGACCTAACGCCAGCTGCTCGAATTCGTAGATGTCGGGTTCTCCAGCTGCCAGCAGGGTACTGAATAATCGAACACGTCGACACAGAATCCGTATACAACACTTTTTGCAGTGCTTCTTCACCCGTTCCAACCAAGGAGGCAATTATTGGAGTGCAAGATTGTATCATTGTTGCACCTCAATTGACGCGTGTAACTCAGCTTCGGCAGTAATTACTTAAAGCCACCGTTGACTGTCGTTGCGTTGCCCACATCACCGGACAATCACCCCATACCACCACGGCACCAGAGTGACTTTTCTCGTTTTCTCCAGATGCGAAGCTAGCATCAGCGTAGGACTCTACCACCTTGATGCCCCTTCCAAACCGCAACACCCAGCTCCTTGGTATGCGCCAGAAGCTCCTTCAACACATGCTTGACGCCATATCTTCTCCTTGATCTCCAGGAGTGTCCGGAATCAGCTCTTCTTCTACTCGTGTCTCTCCAATGTCACCTCTTTCCATTTGACCCATCAAACCTGACGATGGCCGCTCAGCTTGTACAGGTTCTCGATCTCGAAGATCTGGCAGCGACGGTGGTCTCCTTGTATTTTCACCACTTCTATCCCCTCCGCTTGCGGGAAGACTTGCCGGCCTTGATTGCCTCAGTCTTATTTCCTCATGAGCCCGCTCGCTCCAGAAAGGATTCGCTGTGGACCTTGAACCATTTCACCTTCAATCTGAGCAATTGGCTGCACTCGCGCAATTTCTCTCCCATCCGTCAGTGCTTGTACCTCAGGAGCTTGTTGCCTGTCTTCACCCCTATCACCGCGATTTTCTTCGGCATCATTGGCCTCCGATGACAGTCCAGGTTCAGAACGACGCCGCATCATGTCCATTGCACTAAACAAATGCAAAATTTTACCTATACCGCAGGGAGCCTAATTTGGGCTCATAACCTACGGGGGGCAACCAAAGGGGGACAGGAAACCAAACAGTCAACCCCAGAAGAAGCCCTTAAGCTCCCTGGACCAACCACAAACCAAACCCAAAAGACCAAGCACCCTTTTCTCACTAAGTGCATTGTCATCTTGAGCCAAAAATTGTTTGCGGGTGTTTTACCCTTCCAACCTGTAAAAGGCAACCTCCGCATAGGGTTTAGGGTTTAGGGTTTAGGGTTTAGGGTTTAGGGTTTAGGGTTTAGGGTTTAGGGTTTAGGGTTTAGGGTTTAGGGTTTAGGGTTTAGGGTTTAGGGGTTTACGGGTTGAGATACCCCAACACAGACTGCTTGGCCACTGTGCGGCAGTGGCCTGCAAGATCCCAGTGAGACCCTGCTATCCCGGCCCGCTTAGGGTGATGAAAACCTCCTCCCCCCCTAAGCCCTGAACCCAAAACCCTAAGCCCATCGCTAAACCCTCCAACTCCTCAACCCCCGAAACTCCAAACCTCAACCTTTTAAGGCGCAAGGCCTCTTTATCTCCAATCCCTCAACTTCCACTCCAGAGGCCCAAACCTCTAATCCTCCAAACCCCTTTTAAATGCATATTTACCAAAGGGCAACACACTGTAACCCTCATTATCGGAGCCCCCCAACAAGCATAGTTTCCTCTAAAACCCTAAACCCTAAACCCCAACAAGGCTATTGCCCCTAAGCCACCCAAAATCGTTCAAGGCGCGCCAAGTGTAGTGGTGCAAATTCAGGACCGATCCCCACATCGAACATCTCCCTGCACCTGGCTTCTTGTGAAGTTCACCTCAACAACCCCTAAACCCTAAACCCTACACCCTAACCTCTTCGTTTGGGGGGGGGGGGGGGGGTTCGGCTATCCTTTGCGACCCTTAAGTCTTGTGGGTTTGGGGGGGTAGGGAAGCCGATTCCGAAATGGAGCCGCGTCGTCATAGCTCCAGTGAGAGTCGCAATAGTTTCCGCCAGTGAGTCGCTGCTGCACAAGCATGGTTTGACTGAACGGTTTGTATGCAAACACAGCCAGACAAAAATCAGTCTCATTTCCGAACCCTGAGACTTTGGCAAAGGCGTGGAGGCAGCGTATGTGATCCTACAACAGCAGCTCCCCCCAATCATCACACGAGAACTGCAAAAACCAACTGCTTGCCTACGTAATATGCGGCCTCGTCATCAAGGATGCGCGCTCTGTCAGCAGCCTCCGCATCATCCTCAGCATCGTCAGGGAGCTGCAGGGATTGGATGCTCCACCATTCGGGAGGTAGCTAAGCACAAACTATATACGGCTTAGGGCTCCAATTAGATGCCCAAAAAGCCCTAAACCCTAAACCCCAAAACCTGCGTGGCAAAGTGCGGAAGGTCACCGGAGAGCGTCGCGCATGCCAGGCCACCAATCCCCCGGCGCACCTGCGGACAACTTGGCCCTTCTTGGACGCTGCGCCAGGGGTTTAGGGGTTCAGGGGTTTGTTCTTAAGGGAGGGAGGTTCATGGGGGGTACCTAGGGAACCTTTAGGAAAGCTTAGGGAGCCTTGGGGAGTAGTCACCTTGGGTTACATACCGACCCCCCTTGAAGCCCCCTTCCCTTAAGAACCCTTTCAGTTTGAGAGGCAGCTCCTGTAAGTGAGAGAACAGGGCTATGAATGAAGGACTGCAAGTTGGGGATGTAGAAACCCCCAAACGCCCCGAAAATCCGACATACTTCCCTGAGTCTAAGTCTAACACCCGAAAACCCGAAAACCCGGCAACCCGAAAACTCTAAAACCCTAAAACTCTAAAACTCTAAAACCCTAAAACCCTAAAACCCACAACCCTAAAACCCTAAAACCCCAAAACCCTAAACAACAAAGCCCTAAAACCTAAAACCCTAAAACCCTAAAGCCCCTAAAACCCTAAAGCCTAATCACCCTAACGCTAAGCCCAAAACCCCGCGAGTAGCCTTCACGGCACTCTGCAGTGAGGCGAACCTCAGTGAGGGTTTAGGGTTTAGGGTTTAGGGCTTAGGGCTTAGGGCTTAGGGCTTAGAGTTTAGGGTTTAGGGTTTGGGGTTTAGTCGGGTTTAGGGGGGTTTAGGGGGGGTTTGGGGTTTGGGGTTTATGGGGGGGGGGGGGGGATTGGGGTTTGGGGTATGGACTTTGGGCTTTTGGCAGCGGTGTAGGGTTCAAGCCAGAAGCCTTCTGAAGCTCGTGAGCCCCAAGGGCTGTGGGGTTGAAAGCTCAGCCCTTTGGATTAGGATTAGGGACCGGGATTTCTGAAACATCTGACCCTGGGGTTTATAGGGTCTAAGGGCGTGTGGGGTTTGTAGGGGTTTTAGGGTGAACTTCGCGTTGGGGGGCCCTGGGGTTGCGGGGTTGAGGCTTAGGGTTTGGCGTTTAGGGTTTCGGGTTCGAACAGCAGACCTAAGCCTAGGATCCCTCTTCCACCCGAGAAGGAATACACATGTCACATGTCTCCATCACCTACCCGGTCAGGTCAGGTTTACGCGGGGTTGAAATCATCAAGAATGCTTCGCATTAGAGAGCCAGCGGACCCTACACCCCAAACCCCTAAACCCCTAAAACCCCTAAAACCCCTAAAACCCTAAACCCCAGGTCCTCAACCCTAAGCCCTAAACCCTAAACGCTAGGGGTGTGAAAACTTCAGGACTTGAGGGGGTAAAGCTCTTGAGAAGATACAAAGGCAACCCTTGAACCCCACACGAAGAATCCTTGAAGCCGAGCCCCCAAACCCTCAAACCCGAACCGATTTAGGGTTTAGGGTTTAGGGTTTAGGGTTTAGGGTTTAGGGTTTAGGGTTTAGGGTTTAGGGTTTAGGGTTTAGGGTTTAGGGTTTAGGGTTTAGGGTTTAGGGTTTAGGGTTTAGGGCTTAGGGTCACTGAACCACAAGCCTCTCCAGCACAAGCCTGGCAGCTTGAATGCCTTCAGGAACTCCTCCACCGTCCGCTCCTTCTCCTGCATCGGTGTTTAGGAGAGGGGGGTTCATCGGGATTTTGGGGTTTAGGGTTTAGGGTTTAGGGTTTCGGGTTTAGGGTTTAGGGTTTAGGGTTTAGGGTTTAGGGTTTCGGGTTTCGGGTTTAGGGTTTAGGGTTTAAGGTTTAGGGCTGAAACCCTTCCCCTAACCCTAAACCTTGAGAAACCAGAACTTAGGGGAACCGTAATCGGCGGGTGCCTTTGCAGGTTGTACCCCTAAGCCCGAAACCCCTAAACCCTAAAAACCCTATAAACCCTCTAAACCCTACAAACCCTATAAACCCTATAAACCCTATAAACCCTATAAACCCTATAAACCCTATAAACCCTATAATATTGGACTCTTGGTTCGTTTCGGCTTGTCGCGTGGCGGGGGCCACTCACAACCGCTAAAGCAGACAAAGCTCCAGATGCTTTGGCTTCTGAGCTTTAGGAATATCCTGCGGAAGGCGCCCCTCAACCCTAAACCGTAAATCCCCAAACCCTAAGCCTAGCGCTGTTGCACTCGAAAACCTCGAAAACCTCCACTGTGAAACCCAAAATCTCAAATTTTTCCGGCTGTCCCAAGGTTGAACCGGGGTTTCAGGGCTCAAGGGTTTGAGGGCTTAAGGGTTTCGAGGGTTTCAGGGTTTAAAGGTTTAAGGGTTTAAAGGTTTCGGGCTTAAGGTTTAGGATCTAAGGCTTGAGGGTTTAGGGTGATACCTCATAGGCCTAAACCCTTAAACCCTAAACCCTAAACCCTTAAACCCTAAACCCTAAACCCTAAACCCCAAACCCTAAACCCTAAACCCTAAACCCTAAACCCCAGAACGGGCCTGTGCTCCGGTCAGATCCTCCCGCCGGGCCGCCAGTACGCGGAAGGTGTCCTGGTCTCTGGGAAACCCGTCCGGCCCCTCCAGCTCGATGAGCCTGAGTTTAGGGTTTAGGGTTTAGGGTTTAGGGTTTAGGGTTTGGGGTTTAGGGTTTAGGGGGTTTAGGGGGTTTAGGGGGTTTAGGGGGTTTAGGGGGTTTAGGGGGTTTAGGGGGTTTAGGGGGTTTAGGGGGTTTAGGGGGTTTAGGGGGTTTAGGGGGTTTAGGGGGTTTGAGGCTTTAGGAAGTTCAGGAGTTTAGGGGGGTTTATGGTAGTTTCGGGGGTCTAGGGCTTTGGGGGCTTGGGGTGGTTTTGGGGGGTTTAGCGGGTTTAGGGGACTTAGGGTTTAGGGTTTAGGTTTCGGGTTTGGGGGGTTTTGGGGGTTCGGGGGGTCCAGCGTGCTGGGGGTTGAGGGCTTTGCGGGTTCCAGTAGGAGGTGGGGGCATGGGGCCTCTAAGCCCAAAACCCTGCAAGCCCTGAAGGGTCCCGGTTTCTTCGTGGTGTGGGGCGTCGGAAGTTGTGGGCCTCCGGGGTTTTGGGGTCCTAAACCCGAAGCCCTAAGCCCTAAGCCCTAAACACTAAACCCTAAACCCTAAACTCCACAAACCCTAAACCCTAAACCCTAAACCCTAAACACTAAACCCTAAACCCTAAACTCCACAAACCCTAAACTTTTTAGGGCTTCAGGAGCTGAGGAGTCCTGGTAGCCCTTGGGCCAACCCTAAACCCTCCATGCGTCAAGACAAAGGCGCTTGAGATCGAGGGCGGCCCGGCAAATTAGGCCAACGGCCTTCCGGTCCGCCTCGAAGGTGAACCTTGGCGGCAAGGAGTCTGAAGGGGTGCGAGGTTTAGGGTTTTGGGTTTGGGTTTTGGGTTTATAGGGTTTATAGGGTCTATAGGGTTTATAGGGTTTATAGGGTTTATAGGGTTTATAGGGTTTATAGGGTTTATAGGGTTTATAGGGTTTATAGGGTTTATAGGGTTTATAGGGTTTATAGGGTTTATAGGGTTTATAGGGTTTAGGAATTAGGGTTTAGGAATTAGGGTTTAGGATTTGGGGTCGGGTTGCGAGGTTTCGTGCAGCTGCACAAGAGTCAGCTCGCTAACCACCCCATTGCTCGATCGCAACCTGAAGCAACTGAGCTCAAGTCTCTGAAGCTCCGCAAGATTCCAAAACCGGTTCAACCCTCTAAATTTTGAGCCGGTAGGCGGTAGAACCCTAAACCCAGTCTCTCGAACACCAAAGCCCTGAACCCTCGCAGCGAAATGCAACAACTTCCCAAGTTCCAAGACCTTTGAAACCCTAACGCCCCACAATTGTTGCACCAAAACTCCCTAAACCCTAAACCCTAAACCCTCAACCCTCAACCCTAAACCCTAGACCTTCTAACTAAGTAAGGCCCCAGTAAAGCCTACAGCCCCCTAAACCCAAGACAAGGAGCTCCCCCTCGTGTGCGAGGCAGTGGCGCCAAGTCTCCGTTGATCCAAACCTCTTAGGCTTTGAGGGCCTTCCGGGGTTTCAGGGTTTAGGGTTTAGGGCTTAGGGTATTTAGGGGTTAGGGTTTAGGGCTTAGGGTGTTTAGGGTTCAAAGACATTTTGGGTTCTTCAGGGCCTTGTTGGGGCTTAGGGCTTTGGGGGCCTTTGGGTTCAGGGCTTAGGGTGTTCTGGGTTTAGGGCTTTGGGGTTTCTTCGGGCGCTGGGGCGCTGGGGTTTTGAGTCTTTGTCAACTTAAGGGTTCAGGGGCGACTTTGAAATTTTCCGGCATGTGTTCTGAAAACGTCTCTTGTTAACTCCGTAGGGGCACAGACTATAAACCCCAAACCCCAAACCCCCAAACCCTAAACCCGAAACCCGACACCCTAAACCCTTACCCTTAAACCCTAAACCCTAAACCCCAAACCCTAAACCCTAAACCCCAAACCCTAAACCCTAAACCCTTAACCACCCCTCTCAAAGCTCCTCAACCAGGGGGCTCCACGCAGTCCTCAGCCGACACCACGATGACCGGCAGGATCTTCCATGACACCGCCGGGGCCGTGGCCTCCTCTGACTAGGGTTTAGGGTTTAGGGTTTAGGGTTTAGGGTTTAGGGTTTAGGGTTTAGGGTTTAGGGTTTAGGCTTTAGGGTTTATGGCTTAGGGTTGAGGGGTTTAGGGTTGAGGGTTTAGGGTTTAGGGTTTAGGGTTTAGGCTTTAGGGTTTATGGCTTAGGGTTGAGGGGTTTAGGGTTGAGGGTTTGAGGGTTTGAGGGTTTGAGGGTTTGAGGGTTTGAGGGTTTGAGGGTTTGAGGGTTTGAGGGTTTCAGGGTTTCAGGGTTTGAGGGTTTGAGGGTTTCGGGGTTTCAGGGTTTCAGGTTTCGTGGTTTGCGGCATACCAAGTTTAACTAGGCTAAGCATCCGTTGGCCGTACTGAAAACCTCTCTCCTCGGCCCCGGTGTGGATCCTCGAAAGCTCAAAACCTAGCCTAAACTGAGGTCTAGTCTCTCTCCTAAGATCCGTTGGTAGATCCCTAGAATGCGAAAATGCGCGCCTAAAACCCGAACCCGAAGCCCTAAACCCGAAACCCTAAATGAACCCCTCCTCCTCGTCATCTTCAGCCATCGTGACGCTGCTGGCCAAGTAGCGGCACCAGAGTTCGGCACGGCACCAGCCGCGGTTTCTGGGCTACGTCCGGGGTTGGGCTGAGGACTCTGTAGGGTTTAGGGTTTTGGGTTTAGGGTTTAGGGTTTGGGGTTTTGGGGTTTAGGGTTTAGGGTTTAGGGTTTAAGCCCTAAACCCTGTAGAGCTTGGAGGGAGCAAGGGTTTGTGCTTCTACGTTCCCAATGAAACCCTATCTGCAGTCTGGCCCCGGGAAAGTAGCAGGCCTTAACCGCCACATATACTTGGGCCCCCAGGAGCCATGACCCCTGATTGGGTTTAGGGTTTAGGGTTTAGGGTTTAGGGTTTAGGGTTTAGGGTTTAGGGTTTAGGGTTTAGGGTTTCGGGTTTGGGGTTTGGGGTTTGGGGTTTGGGGTTTGGGGTTTAGGGTTTAGGGTTTAGGGTTTAGGGTTTTATGTTTAGGGGGTTTAGGGGGTTTAGGGGGTTTAGGGAGTTTAGGGAGTTTTGGGATTGGGGTTTGGGGTTTGGGGTTTGGGGTTTGGGGTTTGGGGCTGAGGGTTGAGGGTTGCAAGGTGTCGGGGGGGAGAGGTAATTTAAGGCGAAAACGCCGGATATCTACGGGTTTGGAGGGTAAAATTCGGGTTAGGGCTCAGGAGTTAACCCAAGCAACTCTTGACGAGCCTTCCATGCACCCGCTCTTGCGAATCTAAAAGGATCAGCTATAGGTTGAGGGGTTTGGGGTGTAGGGTTTGCTTTTGGTTGGGAGATTTTGGGGTTCAGGGTTTTGTGGTTTAGGGTGAGAGGTTCTCGCGCAGACAACAGAACCAAAAGCCTGTGCCAACAAAAAAAGACGCGTTCGTGAAAACCGAGGCCCTAAAACCCCAAGCCCGAAAATGCGAAATGCGAAATGCTTTGAGAGTCAAGTAGGTGCCGTAGTCGCAAATCTGGTCCGTATCTTCGTGCCTGGTGGCACGCTGCAACGCTTAGCTCAAGGTGCTCAGACTCATCATGCGTTGCGAAGAGATAAAAGGAGGAACCCCTAGAAGAGACCCTTATTCCTCTGGGCTGCCCCGATCTATATATCTCTATATATCTATATATATATATATATATATCTGTATATCTATATATATATATATATATGTCTACCTTATATAGTCCCTTTATGCCTAAGTAGCCCACATGTAGCCCCCTGAGGTCCCTTATAAGGGTCCCCCCCCCTTGAGTCCCTTGACATTGGCAATGAAGGGCCTTAAGCCATATCCGACGCTCCTCATCAAAAGGGGATGCTATCAGCAAGTGGACTTATAGGAAGAATTTTCGAGGCTTTCCTGGGAAAACCGTCAGCAAATCTAAGGGGAAGGAGGGGGGGCTATTGTTGCGGATGACCATTCTGCAGTCGATGATGATGATGGGTTGAGGGCGTAGGGTTTAGGGTTTGGGGTTTAGGGTTTAGGGTTTAGGATTTAGGGTTTAGGGTTTAGGGCTACAAGGGCGCCAGGTAGGAGGGATTGGGCTTTTGGGTTGAAAGCCGAAAGCCTCAGAGTTGATGTGGGCGGGGCTTAGGGTTTAGGGTTTAGGGCTTAGGGTTTAGGGTTTAGGGTTTATTGTTTAGGGTTTAGGGTTTAGGGTTTAGGACGTAGGGCTTCGGGCTCAGGGTTTAGCACAGCGATGAAGATGTTGCCTCAGGGGCGGGACGAGGCAGATGAAGAAGCGAGAAACACCTGGGGGTTTCGAAGAGAGAAGTGCACGTTTTTGGTGATCCTGAAGAAAGGACTATAGTCTACCCCATTTTCCAAAAGTTTCCGGGGGTCGGGTTCGACTGGACATTGAAGTGTTTTGGACTGGTTCCACGCTTCATGTTGCCCTCAACCCTAAAGCCTATGCGTGTGGTCCAGCAGCCCTTCACACCCTAAACCCTAAACCTTAAACCTTAAACCTTAAGCAGCCTAAAACCCAAAGCCATAAAACTACGACCCCGATCTGAACTCCAAACGGAGAAGAGATCGCTGATTGCCCTACTTCCCAAGTTCAGCAACCGCTTTCCGGCGCCCCTGATTGCACGCTGCAAGCCATGCAGTTTTGAATGCGGGTTCAGGGTTTATGGAAGCTCGAACATAAAACATAAACCCTCAATTTTAAACCCTACACCCCAAGCCCCCACACCCAAAAACATCACCCCAGAACTGCAAGCTTAAACACTACACCAGTAAACCCGGGCAACCCTAAACCCCTAACCCGAAACCCCAAACTGCAAACATGAACTTGAAGCCGCAAACGCTACTCCCGAAAGGCTTATATATAGTGGGGGTGGGGGGGGTGGGGGGGGGGGGGGGGGGGGGGGGGGGGGGGGGGGGGGGATGTGGAGACCCTCAACACTCAGCCCTAAACCCTAGGGGTTCCGGAGTTTGGTTGCTTGGGGGGGTTTGAACATTGTATTTCTACTTTGGGGTTTGGAGTGTTGGGGTCGTACCCCTAAACCCTAAACCCTAAACCCCAAACCCCAAACCCTAAACCCTAAACCCTAAAGCCAAAAGCCTGAGCCCTAACCCCTCAACCCTAAGCCGCGATGCTGACGTAGAAGGGGATGGAGCGGATGCCAGCAGCCTGATCTCGCTCCAGCCGGTCGTCCTCAATCCAGCAGAATGACCTGGCAAAGTTACTCTATAATTAGGTTCAGGGCTTAGGGTTTCGGGTTTAGAGTTTAGGGTTTAGGGCTTAGGGCTTAGGGGTTGGGGGTTTAGGGCTTAGGGCTTAGGGGTTAGGGGTTTAGCGCTTTGGGGTTAGGGGTTAGGGGTTTAGGGGTTGAGGGGTTTAGGGGTTTAGGGGTTTAGGACCTCTGGGCAGTTCTGAGCCTGCTCTGCGTCCTCGCAAAGGCCCATGTGCTCTCAAACCGCCAAAAAAGGCTCTAAACTCTTAATGGGTTTAGGGTTTAGGGTTTAGGGTTTAGGGTTTAGGGTTTAGGGTTTAGGGTTCTTAGCTCTTCTGGCCCGAAACCTGGCCGAAAGGGGGGGGGGGGGGGGGGGGGGGTGAGACAGGAGTTGCGAGAAAAGAGCCCATTTATCAACGCCTGCTTGGCGACGTTCTGCCGGAGTCTACAGGCCCTGAAATCTAAATCCCAAATCCCTCGCGCCTGAGGCTCTCTTGAGGGATCGACCACCAGTCGAACCAGACGTATGCATTGGACAGGCGCTTCCGCTCCTGGGCGTGAGGGCGAGATAGGTTTGTCGTGATTTGGGGAGGGATTTGGACTGACGGATTGGGCTTAGGGCTTGGGGCACGGGTCTGGTGACCTCCTCCCTGAGACCCCCAAACTACCATGGTAGGGCCGACGCCTTTAACTGAATCTGGGGCCCCTAAACTCCTGTGGATCATCCTCAGCGCCATGATGGTTGGGATGTTCCCCCTCACACAAACAGTCCTCTGCAAGGAGTATAGTAGGGGGTGCGACGATCCCGAGTAAGGGCTCTTTTTGATAAGGGGGGAACATCCCAAATGATGAGGGTTCAGGCCTGCGAGTCGAGGGCTTCGACTTGCTATTCGGGCTTATCCTTCATGATCGGCGTTTTTGTGAGTGAGTGTGCGTGTGCGAAGCCTGCGGCCGAAAAAAAAAGCTCGACGAGCCACAGCAGTTCGACAAAGCTCGACGAGACATTGTGCACTGTGTTGGATAGCCCGAAGGATTGTCAGATGACAGCATGAAACCTTGCGAACCTCCTTCTGCGCAAAACCTTCCTACTCACACTCACAGACCTTAAAGCAAACTCTGGAAACACGTGGAGCTGCTGCACGTGTGCCTTCACTGCAATAAAACGTCCCTGATTTTGATGGTTGGCCCAAAACATTTTACATGAACTTCTATAGAACCAGCATTCCACAAAAAATGTCCCTTCCGCCAATTGAGGGCTTTCTTACAAACTGTACATGAAATCGGGCCTCGAGTACTTAAGCAATGACAATATACCAGGATGGGTCTCCTCAATCTGCCAAAATACCTCCTCAATCCCCCTGAGCCCCAAACCCTGAACCCTAAACCCTACAGAAAGGACTGTTGTGAGGCGGAGTTGTTGGGTAGTTTTCAGTCATTTAATAAGGTTTAGGGGTTAGTAAACGCTTACAACTTTAAACTTGTGGCCTCACAACAGTCCATTCATAAGTGGGAATCTTGACCATGATGTCCGGCATACATGATTTGGGGGGGGGAGGGGGCGGGGGGGGGGGAGGGGGTCCTTGGAAGTTGGCCCATCTTGGCAGGAGTCCCCTCCCCCCCCCCCTCAAGCGTAACAGCCGTAGCTGTGCCACAGTTGGTTTGCTTTCACGTATTTCCAGACCTGTTATTCGGAAGTTCCCTGCTTTCGAAACACAGCCTTTGTTTCGAAACACAGCCCCTGTTTCGAAACATGGATGTCACAGCCACAACTGCTTCACAAAACGATATCCAATCTCACCTTGGTTCCAGCGCTATATCTGAAGGTTGCGATGTCACATGTGCGAGTAAAAGGATATCTGCTCATAGTATTCTCGCGTCCCCGGGGCCTACAGGACATGTCTTGATGATGTGGGTGCTAATAATGTAGGGTTATAAGGTTAAAAATCCTATAGAGTTTAGCGTTATGACCCTAAACCCTATATGCTTTAAGGCTTAAGGAAAACAGTAAAGTGGTTAAATCACTGAGGGACTAGGGTTACGTTTTTGCAATGCCCTAAACCTTAAACTCTAAACCTTTAACCTCTTATAGGGTTTAAACCCTAAAGGGCTAACCCGGTAGGGTAGATAAACCCTGACCCGAAAGGGGCCCTATAGGGTTTAAGGCTTAACCTAGTTTGAATGCCCAAACTTAAATTTAAATCCCCAGGCCTTAAACCTCTGAAAACCTTATAGGGCTTAAAGGCTTTAATGCCTAAACCTGATGTATTTAAGGTCTGGGCATTTATACATTCAGCATTAGAACCCTAAACCCTTTATGCTGTAAGGCTTAAGGAAAACAGTAGGACTTAAGCCTCAAGGCCTATAATATAAGGTTATAAGGTTCTAATCCTATAGAGTTTAACGTTATAACCCTAAACCCTATATGCTTTAATTAAGGCTTAAGGAAAACAGTAAAATGATTAAATCCCTGAGGGTCTAAGGTTACGTTTTTAATGCCCTAAACCTTAAACTCTAAACCTTTAACCTCTTACAGGGTTTAAATCCTATAGGGTTAAACCTTTAAAAACCTTATAGGGCTTAAATGTTTTAATGCCTAAACCTGATGTACCTAAGGTGTGGGCATTTATACCTTCAGCGTTATAACCCTAAACCCTATCTGCTGTAAAGCTTAAGGTAAACAGTAGGGTTTAAGTCTCAAGGCCTATAATATGGGGTTGTATCAAAACCCCGCGCAGTCGATTTTGAAAGGAATTGCCCGAAGCGTTTGGGCCGTGCTTCTGACTCGTAAAACGATAATCAAGAAAATAAACCGATAACTTTGTAGTAACAGGGCGGGCAGGCGTTATTCCAGTGATAAGCTTGTACTACAAATACATGAAAACATTGAAAACCCAGCCTGCTCAGCTTGCACTACAAATCAACGGAAACCTAGCCGGTTTCAGTACTAAGCTTGTACAACAAATCAATGAAAACCCAGCCTGCTCAGGGGCACGTCCGTTCCAGTACTAAGCTTGTACTACAAATCAACGAAAACCCAATCGGCTCACGGGAACGTCGGTTCCAGTACTAAGCTTGTACTACAAATCAACGAAAACCCAACCGGCTCACGGGAACGTCGGTTCCAGTACTAAGCTTGTAGGATGAATAGATTTAACTCGGGGTTTTTATACAACCCCATATAGGGTTATAAGGTTCTTATCCTATAGAGTTTAGCGTTATAACCCTAAACCCAAACACTATATGCTTTCAGGCTGAAGGAAAACAGTAAAGTGATTAAATCCCTGAGGGTTACGTTTTTGCAATGCCCTAAACCTTAAACTCTAAACCTTTAACCTCTTATAGGGTTTAAACCCTATAGGGCTGCACTATAGGGTTTAAGGTTTAACCTAGGTTGAATGCCCAAACCTGAATTTAATTCAATCTTTAAACGCCTTATAAGGCTTAAAGGTTTTAATGTCTAAACCTGATGCACCTAAGGTCAGGGCATTTATACCGTCGGCGTTATAATCCTAAACCCTCGTACATCTGCTTTGCACTCGCAACAAAATCAACTTCATCCAAAACACTGCATCACATTCAAAAAAACTCCGCCTCACAACAGTCCCCTCTCAAACCCTAAGTCCTAGTCAAGGGGGGAAGCCCCGACCCACCCCCACCCCTCTTCCGGTTCCTACGCTTTCGGGCGCCGCCTTGGTTTTAGGCCCTAATTAAATTAAGCTGAGGGTTCAGGTTTTAGGGTTGAGGGTTCAATTTTAGGGTTTGAGGTACACCCCTAAAATGATGAGTGTCAGCCTTGGAGAGGGTTCGGTTCCTGCCCATGAACTGATAGGCAATGTCGCTGCAAACGCGTACTTCGCCTGAGCTCGCGGTTGCGCAATGCACTCTTGACGAGGGGCTTTAGCTTTAGGGTTCTAGGTTTCCAGGGCTTGAGGGTTTGGGATTTGAGGGATTATGCAGGGTTCTACTGGTACGGACTCAGGGCTTTAGGATCTTAGAGCTTTAGAAAGTTGAGGCTTTACACGAGGGCCTCTACTTTCAAGCTGACAGCATAGAAAAAAAGCTGCCCGCAACCCTTCAGCCCTCAACTCCCAAAGCCGAGAAACCCGAAAGATGGACTACGGGACCGTTGCTGCTCAGGGGTCTGAAAAGCTTCTGCTAACGGACTACTTGGCGATCGCAACCGCCAGCCCCCACCCAAAAGAAAAACAAAAAAAACAACCTAATGACAACGATAATAGCAATAGCAATAAAAAAACAAACAAAGAAATACACAAATAAATAAACAAATACATTGACAACTAGTAAGGTGTCCAATGGAGCAAGCTTTCATGAGCTCGCAGGTGCTCGCGCATGTGAACTCCGTACATGGTTGTGCGCTGTCCATTCTCGCCCTCCCCCGCCCATGGTGCCCACCCCCCCCCCCCCCACACGGTCTCCCTCTCCCCCCCAACGGTCTCCCCCTCCTCCCCAAACCCTAAACCCCTGAAACCCTAAAACCCTAAAACCCTGAACACAAAAAACCCTCCAACCATAACCCCCTAAACCCTAAACCTTATAAAGACCAAAAATCTTAAAAGGGGGGTGGGGGGGGATGGGTCTGGCCGAGGGAATGCCAGGGGTGCAACCAGATAATCACCCACCAACATTTATCAGTGGCAGGATTGTTTAGGGTTCAGGGTTCAGGGTTTAGGGTTTAGGGTTTAGGGCTTACGCTCACCATGAACAGTCATACAAATCATGCCCCACATGGTCGGGGCAGGGATGCTGCTCTCAACAGTCCCTAGACTAACCTAGGAATGAAGAGGTGCCCTGATTCGTTTAAAGGGGCTCATAATTTCAGGATTTCTTTTGATCCCAAGGGTTCGGGGTGCAATGTCAGGGGCTCATGTGTATGAAGGTTTATGGGGTTTAGTTTTCTGGCCTAGGTTTAGGGTTTGTAGTGTTCAGGGTGGAAGGCTTAGGGTTTCGGGTATAAACTACCTTCTATAGACGCCAAACCCCGCAATCCTGGCGACCCTAAATCCGAATCCCTAAACCCTACACCGAGGTACCTGAGATGACGTTACGGAGAGCCTGTTGGAGGACACGGAGGTGGCGGCCGGACTTGTCTGGATGCCTGCCGACCGCGGGCTTGCAAAGGCTGGGGGGTGGAGGGGTTTAGGGTTTCGGGTTTCGGGTTTTTGGTTTTGGGTCTCGGGTTTAGGGTCTAGGGCATGGAGGGTCATAGAGCCCTAAAAGCCCTAAACTGACTAAATTTCACACCCCCAACAACCCTTCAAACTGGAAGGCGTAACAAGCCTTAAGCAAAAACCGCCAAACAACAACCAAAACCCCTGAACACGATGAATCCTCTTAGTTTGGAGAATACGCGTAGAAGGCATCTACAAGGGGTACCTCTAGGGGTACATCAGGGTGTATTAGAGACATACATGAAGTAATGGGGAGATCACCCACCTAACAGCTCTGAATCCAACACTTTTCACAGTCTTGTTGAGGCATTTGTTCACGATTCTTGCGTACACTTGATCTGCAATCTGCATCCACGTTCAACGTAACCTTCACCAACTTCACATCCTTCGATCGCGCGTGCGACAACAAACTGCAGAGCTTCCCGTGTGAGGGGAAGGTTTTTATATACAATCATGCCAGCACTTATCCATTGTGTCTCTCGTCAGACTGTCCAGCCAGAGCCACATATGCTGGCGACGGAGGAGGTGTCACAAAAACGAAGCCCAATCCAATCGCGAGCACTGCACACGCCGTGGTTCCCAACAACGCGGACAGGAGATTGACCCGCATCGCCATCCTAGGAACTCAAACATAAACAATCATTGATCATTGTATTGACCATGTACAGTGTTTTGGCTTTGTGGGGGGTGGGGCGGGGGGATGGGGGGTGGGGAAGGGGGGCTCCCCCCTAAGCACAAGTCCATAAGCAAGTCCGAGCATCAGAACAGCCACCAGAGCAACGAACGAGAGGGCAGGGACTGCTGCCACCGGGTGATGCTGGCGGCGCACGTGAAAGTACGCCGCGCCGCACCACACCGTAGAGGAATATGCCAGCGCGGCAAGCACGGCCTGGGGGATGTCGGAGAAGAGCTGGAATGCAGCCAGGGCCCGAAGAACTCCCACGGCGGGCAGGAACCAGCGTGGGAGGGACTCCTCCACTTGCAAGAGATGGCTTTTGCCCTTGTGGCAGGGGTCGGTGACATCCAGAATGCTGTGGATGCCCAGGGCCAAGGCCAAGACGACCCGCAGCGTCCATTCGAGAGGATCGTCCATGCTCGGCAGAAACAGATGATGGCGACTTAGCCTGAACCCAAGCCCTAGTTGGCACCTGTAAGCTATGTTGAACGACTGTGTGCGGCACTCGAGCAATTCACTCTAATGTGCTTGTCATTGTTCGGTTTCGTTTGGGTGTGGCACATCTTGAAATCTTGCACCCCCTTTGCCACGGTTGAGCTGAGCTGTACTCCACGACCACAGTTTGCCGAACAATCCCAGAACACACCATTTTTATTGAATGAGATTCTTCAGGGCAAGATTGGGATTTCTTCCCTTCTCTTTTTGAGGGGAGGGGGTTCTTAAGCAAAAAGTAGTTGACGCCATCTTTCGAGCCTTCCAGCTGCGAGGTTGCGAGCAAGACTTGCTTGCGGTGACTCTCCCCAGCGCGGGGGCTGCATTGAGCAGGCGCCATCCCAAAATGCAGAATTTGTGTTTGCGTGTGTGTTTGCGTGTGCGTGTGTGCGTGTGTGCGTGTGTGCGTGTGTGCGTGTGTGCGTGTGTGCGTGTGTGCGTGTGTGCGTGTGTGCGTGTGTGCGTGCGTGTGTGGGTGCGTGTGTGTGGGTGTGTGTGTGTGTGTTGTTTGCGTGTGTTGTTTGCGTGTGTTTTTTGCGTGTGTGTTTGCGTGTGTGTTTGCGTGTGTG